TCCACTCGTTAATAATGGGAGTCGTTAAGGTTGTTATTGGCCTGCATTACCAGATACTGGCCCATTCCTCTGAAAAGGCAGTCGTTAAGGCTCATTGTTGGCCTGGCTGACCTGGGGAGGTATGTTGTTCCCCTGCATAGCGATGAGGGTGGAGATGGTATTGGGAATGAATTAACTCTATTGCTGCTTTGTAGGTTTTTGAAAGCTAAAATCTGAGTCCACCCCCTCTGTTTACAAAATATCTCGCCAGGTCAGCCATGCATGGGGCATCACTGAGTTGCCATAGCAACAGCAGCTTTCCTTTCCCGTTGGAGCAAAGAAGCCGTCCCCCATTCATAGCCCCCACCTCTATTCAAGGCCTGTTTCACAGCTAGCAGTGAGACGTCATTGGGAGGGACACTGGATAGTGGTAGTGCTTAGTGGATGGTTTGGGATTGGGTCAAAGTGTTCTGGTTCTGGTATCAGACCAGTTTGGACCAGTAGGTCTAGAAGTCCTGGAGTTTCCGTTAAAGACCAGGAAACATTTAGCCTCTAGATTAAAGGTCCAGAAACATGTCTGATCAGGTCGTCAGTAATAGCTCCTCTGCTAGTGAATTTCTGAACACTGTCTTGGTGAATTCTTGTTATTTTGAGCCTCTTAGGATTCATTAAAGTTTTTTTCTGATGAAGATTTTCTCCATCTTGTTCCTAAAAGTCTCATTTTTTAACCAGGAATCCTGCAGCTAATGATCACACATCCAGATCTTCTATATCAGGGGTCGGCAGCCCAAACTGTTCAAAGAGCCATATTGGACAAAAAAACAAACAAAAATCTAATCTAAACTGTAAAAGTCTTCTATAAGCCTCATATGGAAACATGGAGTGTATTAGCCAACTACAAAGAAGGACTATGTGGGCTTAAATATATAATAGGCATTCATGATTAATTTTTTTATCCTGGAGCATGAACACTCTCACCGTATGGAGTTCACTGGACGCCGCTTCACCGCGCAGTTTGGGTTTTGTTGCCTTGATGAAATCATAGAAACAGGATAAAGGAATGTTTCTATGTTGGACGTGTTTCTGTTGGGAGGAGCTGATGGAGTCATGAGGAACCGAGCAGGAATAGGGTTAGGGTTAGTTAGGGGGGTGGGTGTGGCGCTAAAGAGCCGCTGGTTGCAGACACCTGTTCTAGATGGACCGCAGTGGCGAGGCTGTCTGTTAAAATCATCAGTCTTTGGCATCTTCTCCAGGAATGTATGGTCCATTCCTCCCAATCATGTGTTCATGCATNTTAGAATCATCAGTCTTTGGCATCTTCTCCAGGAATGTATGGTCCATTCCTCCCAATCATGTGTTCATGCATCCCATTCACTTCATTTATTGATCCCAAAGAGAAAATAATTGTTTTTTTTTCATCCATTGTTATAGATGTTGATGCTGAAGACCCTCTGTTGGTGTCTAACAGTCTGATGAAGATGATGCTCGCTGCTGTCCATCATCTTCTTCATCTGCAGAGGTTCTAGAGGAGTTCCTAGAACAGAGCCAGCCCTCTTTATCAGCTGCTTCAGCTTCTTTCAGCCATTAGCTCTGATGCTGTTACCTCAGCAGATGATGGAGGCAGAGATCAGACTCTCCACAACAGACTGATAGAAGATCTGCAGCATCTGAAGGACCTCAGCTTCCTCTAGACGTCCAGTCTGCTCTGTCCCTTTTTGCAGTTGTGTCTCCAGTCCAGGTTGTTGTCCAGGTGAACACCAAGGGATTTTTACTCCTCCACCACCTCCACTTCTTCTCCCAGGATGTTAACAGGATTCAACTTGTTCCTGTTTCTTCTGAAATCTCCAATCATCTCCTTGTTTTGTTGACCTTCAGGACCAGATGATTGTTTCCACACCATGCCACAAAGCGCTTCACCAGAGACCCATTCAGTCCTATGAACACTTTACAGATGGAGCTCCATGCCTGCTGGCCTTTTTTTGTTTTCTTTTTTTCCCTTTCAGGTTCTGCTCAGGATGGTTATTAAATCCTCTAGAAATCAGACCCAACTGGAAGGCGGGGATCTGACAGCCTGGGCCTGGTTTCCTGCTCATCCACACCACACTCTCAAAGGAAAGTCTCTGTCCTTTTTGTTCAGCAGAAAGTTTTTTCTATCCTCTCCATCTCCATGGTTTGTGTGTTCTTGTGGTCCAGCAGAGCAGATCAGGCTATAACGAGGAGTAGCTGATCCATTCTGGCCAAACCACCATTTCTAGGTAATTTTCTCTTTTAAACATTGGAATGATCAGTTACTCTTTGTTAAGGTAACCTTCTAGGTATTTCTGGGTCAGTGCTGAAAGTAAGACTTGATTAAACCAGGGAGGAGGGGTGTTCTGATCCACTTTGAGGAGCGCTGCAGTGAATGGAAGGTTCTGGCCATAGACTTAAACTAAGACAAACTTCATTGTTATTTCTATTATCCAGCTTTCCGACATGGGTCTTCTCCACGTTCAGGATCAGGCTGTTATCTCTGCTCCACCAGCTGCTCCACCTCCTCTCTGTAGTCCAGGTCGTTGTCGTCTCTGATGAGGCCCACCGCCGTGGTGTCATCTGCAGACTTTACCATGTGTTCCGTAAAAATTCAAAAAATATCCACTGGACTTGGTTTC